TATATAACTTTTTATATAAAAATATATTACATATATTATTTATATAATAATATAATATATATTTATGTTTAAGTTTAAATCATAACACCACATGTGACAATGTGGTTAATGTCTTCTTTTGTATATATTTGATTCAGGTTCGAATCTCACACTTTACATCTATTTTTTTCAATTTTAGTTTAACGAGTCAATTTCGAACCGAACACGAGCCGAACACGCACACAAACATTCGAACACGAACACACTGTTCACGAGCCGATTTCGAACACGAACTATTTCGAACGAGCCAAACACGAGCCAAGTCTGAGCTCGCTCAAGCTCGGCTCGTTTTCAACCCTAATATAAACTCTATATATAGAAGAAACATACACAAGTCCATATCTACCATAAGCACATGGCCTCATTGAAGTCCTCGCTTATCCTCCTCACACTTGACTCCTGAAACCCTAGTTTCCATTTTCATTTCACCTATAAATACCACCACCAATGCATTAAAAAGGAAAACGTTGTGTATAAAATGCCACTTCAAGTGCTTTTTGTTATTTGGTTGGATTGCTGAGGGTTTTCAGATAAAGAAAATGAGCTTGTATGAAATCAGTGATTATTGATTTGCAAATCCTTGTTTTCTTATCCTGTCTTCATTCATTGTATTATTGTAGTTATATTAACAATCTTAGGCCTTTTTACACCTGCATCAAGTTGTCCTATTCTACGATCAGTCCTATATGCTGCAACAGAACAAGTTTATGGTCTATGTTGGAAGGTTAATAAATAGACTTACGCTGTTGATGTGTGTGATCCAATGGGGAGACATTTACATAAATACCACATAATTATTATATATTTACATATCTAATACCTAAACTTTTATGTCTACATGATATAAAAGTTTATTGGCATGTATATAAATTTTCCAATTTACATATCTAACACCATAATATTTTTTTAGAGTTGGTGTTAGGTATGTAAATATATAGAAATTCATTGGCATGTATATAAATCTTCCATTTTTATATTCTTATATCAAAATTTAATTGGGTATTTTTTTATTAATCTTTTTCAAATTGTATGGATTTTTTTTTTATTAGTAATCTCTTGGCTGATCTATTCTCTCTTAAATAATTGTAGTAAGATGAGCTACATGTTTTCAGGAAAGTGCGAGGGAGTACTATGCCGCTGCGGACTTTCGTTCTTATTACTCACATTACTTCAGCAACATAGTTACGTGCGGCAGTTCTATAGGTGTCAACGGTAGGAACACAGACTAAAGGACTGCAAGTTCCTCAAGTGGGCAGAAAGTACATCCGATTCTCCGTTATCCCGACCGGACAATGTTGATCGGGGTTCGACGATATCACAACTTGAGAACATTGCTTGTGGTTCGACTGTTTCCCAACCAGACAAGGTTGATCGGGGTTCTACCGTCACATCCGGGCAACATTCCTCGTGACATGTCTCTACATTGTAAAATGAATATTATCATTTTTTTTACCTGTAATTTTAACATGTTATTTCTTTTTTTTTTAATTTTATGATACTCACTATTAGGTGAGATGTACATCTTTTTTGTAATGTTATGAAGGAATTTTATTCGTTCTAAAATATCTAATGTGTAGACATTGCAGTTTTGTTGAGAACATTACAACTTCTACGTGTCAGATTGTTTATTTACTTAAAAAAAAAAACTGCAAATCAGTTGTTGTTAAAACGTAATCAGCTGTTGTCAAAACATACAAACCAAACAGTTAAACAACTTATCCAAAACAGAGACAGAATAATCATTTATCCAGAATCAGTTGTTTTCCAAATGCACAAACCAAACAGTCAAACAGTTTTTCTGGATCAGCTGTTGATCAGCAGCTTATCAGGATAAACTACTTATCTGAATAAGCTGAATTTAACTTATCCATGTAATTTTATATTGATCAAAACACAGTAAATGAACTGCAATACATGTAATTTTATTGTGACATCTTCATATATAACCATATCATGTTTGATCATACATCTCTAAATTTAACTAACTAGTCATTCATCATTACATTGCATATTATTTTACATATCGATATAGTTGATTTGATCAAAACACCATAAGCTTCTTAAGGTAAACTCTAGCCCAAAAAACTTCAATGATTTTTTATAGAGTTGTCAGTCTATAGTCACGTCGGTCGACCTAACTAATATAAAAATGATTTAAGTGACCTATATGGCATTGAATACAAAAATATATTTTATGTTTAGTAAGCAAATTAACAATAATTATTTTATAAATAGCATTACTAGTATTATTTATATATTAATACATGACTTGCTTGACAACATGATTAAAATTTATTGCATTCAATTGAGATAACATGTGTGACAAATAATTATTGCAACAATATGCATTAATTTAATATGCATAAATTTATGCAATAATAAATCAAGGCACTCATATATGCAATTTAACATTTCATTGTGAACATAAAAAATATGATATGCTTAGCAAGTAATTGAATCACAAAGTCATGACTATTGATATTATAAATTATTTAGAAATTCAATACAAAAATAAGAATAGCACCCATAATAGAAAATGTTGCTTAATAGGCAAGAATAACTTATTGTCTCGTTTTTCATGGTTCTTAGTCTAGATTGACATCTTTTTGTGGAAAGAATTCAAGTTTCTTGATCGCCATTTCTTCTATTTATTTTGCACTTATTGTGTAATGTTTTTGGGGTGATTACGTACAGGGCAGCCAAAACATTGCCATTAACAAATTAAGCACCATTTTTCATTCAATCAAGCTCCCTCTTTCATCCATTTTTCAAATTCTCACTCAAATATCAAAGGTCATGATAAAACCCCAACCCATATTTTTTTTATTTTTATCAAATTCATGATGGTTTGAATAACACAGGGGGAAATATTCTTCGTGTTACTGCGCCGTTTTTTTCTCTGTCACGCGGCATGGTTCGATCGGGGCACGTGTAAATGTATCTGTTTCATAATTTAAAAATCACTTAGATGCTTGATTTGTAAATAACAATGTTTATTTCACTCGAAATGTAATCAAACTTTTTTTCCACAACTTCCGTTACAATTTAGAAGTGTGACGAGTTTTAACTGTATTGAAGAAATTACTCGACTGATGCTTTAGTTCTGACCTCCTCAGTCCGCAGAAAAAAACTTATGTAACATGTCGGATTTTGTTCGTCTTTCTCATTCTAATTCGACTTTTTTTTGGCAGGAATTTAACTCTCTTAATCTTGCTCTTCTTCTCATCTTTGGTTCTTTGCAGAGCCTAGAAAGCGAGAATGTATTGGAACACGATGCAAATGTAAATTACATCTCAAGGTTTGTTCTGTTTAAATTATACCTCTTAATTTCATGTTTTTAGGATCTAATTGAATATTAACGACTATAATTATATTTATTTTATTCCAGATATGCATCATAAAAACTTGAAAACCTTGGAGAGTTCATTGAGCACTTTTTCCTTGGCCTCCCTAGAAATTCAATTATTTGCATTAGCTTGCTTGATCGTGATTATGTAAACCTACCTGGGGAGGTGCTGATTCTCCCACCTTTTCTTCCGGCTTGGTTGCTTATCACACGTTTCAATTATTTGCATTAGCTTGCTTGATGGTGATTAGGTAAACCGACCTGGGGAGGTACTGATTCTCCCACCTTTTCTTCTGGCATGGTTGCTTATCACACGGTTTGATGGGAATAGGCAACCGATTATTATGTTCTTGCCTGTTGGTTCAGTTTCAGAAACCCAATTCTAGTGTACTCAAGGAGTTCATACCTGAAAATGTAGTCTCCAATTGGTCTTGTCCTTGGAGCAGTGCTGTGATTGAATTTGTGGCTCCCTCGTACAAGCTTATTTTAGAATTAAATTTTTTTCCTACATCTTATTTTGTCAATAGTGAAGCCGACGACCATCTTAAGTGCTGGGAGTGGTGGTATTTTAAAAGGATGCTTGACTTTAAACTAAATCATTTATTGTGGTATGCTTAAGCAACTTTCTACTTT